TATACATATAATATATGTGTATATATATTTTTTGCTATGTTACCCAGGCTGATCTTAAACTCCTGGGCTCAAGCAATCCTCCTGTAATCCAAGCCTTTTGGGAGGCCGCACTGGGCCTCTTCCTCTTGTCTCTCTGTCTCTCTCTTAATCTCTCACTCTGTGTCCTTTTCCCTCCGGGTCTTCTCTTGCTACTTTCTTCCTCAGTGTGTCATTCTCTCCCTTTGTAGCTCTTTATCCCTGGCTCAGTCTTTTTCTGTATCCTCATCTTTCCATTTCTTTTAAGAATAACTTTATTGAGATTTCATTAATATACGTATAATCCATCTATTTAGAGTATACAGTTCAATGGTTTTTGGCATACACACAAGATTATGCAGTCATCACTACTATCTAATTTGGGGACATTTTCATTTGTTTTGGTTTTTTTTGTTTGTTTCTTTTGTTTTGATTTGTTTTGTTTTGAAATGGGATCTCACTGTCCCATCCAGGCTGGAGTGCAGTGGCACGATCATAGTTCACTGCAGCTTCGAACTCCTGGGCTCAAATGATCCTCCTGCCTTAACCTCCTGAGGAGCTGAGGCTGCAGATACATGCCACCATACCCTGCTTAATTCTTTAAATTTTTTGTAGATATGGGGTCTTGCTATGTTGCCCAGGCTGGTCTCATACTCCTGGCCTCAAGTGATCCTCCTGCCTTGGCCTCCCAAAGTGTTGGGATTATAGGTGTGAGCCACCACTCCTGGCCTTTATTTTAGAACATTTTCATCATCCCCCAAAGAAACTCCAAACTCGTTAGCTGTCCCCCCTCAATCTCTTATCTTCCCCCAGTCCATGGCAACCACAAGCTTACTCCCTGTCTCTGTGGATTGGCCTCTTCTGGACATTTCATATAAAGGGAATTACATACTATGTGGTTTATATGCATCTGGCTTCTTTCGCTGAGCGTGGTGTTTTCAAGGTTAATCCACACAGTAACCTGTGTCAGAGCTTCATTCCTTTTCATGGCTGAATAATATTCCATTGTACAGATGGACCACATTTTTTTTTTTTTCTTTTTTGAGACCAGTCTCACTCTGTCGCCCAGGCTGGAGTGTAGTGGCATGATCTCGGCTCACTGCAACCTCTGCCATCCAGGTTCAAGCGATTCTTCTGCCTCAGCCTCCTGAGTAGCTGGGATTACAGGCACCTGCTACCGTGCCCGGCTAATTTTTGTAGTTTTAGTAGAGATGGGGTTTCACCATCTTGATGAGGCTGGTGTTGAACTCCTGACCTCGTGATCCACCTGCCTCGGCCTCCCAAAGTGCTAGGATTACAGGCATGAGCCACCGCGCCTGGCCAGACCACATTTTATACATCCATTCACCCATTGATAAGCATTTTGGTTATTTCTGCTTTTGGGTTATTATGAATAATTTCGCTGTGAACATTCTTGTACAAGTTTTTGTGTGGACACGCTCCCTCTCTTTATCTCCCTCTCTGTTTCCTTCTCCTGTCTCTCTGAGACTGGTCTGGAGGAGGGAATGTTGTCCTCCATCATCCTTCTCTCCCTTCCCTGCAGCATTTCATGAAGCCCCTGCAACGGTTCCTGAAACCTCAAGACATTGAGATCATCTTTATCAACATTGAGGTGAGCCAGCCGATCCCCAGCCCTCTTGGGTCTGTCTAGTGCGGACAACTTGCTGCCCCTACCTGTCCCTGGAGTACAGGGGTTGGGAGTTGAACAGCATGGGGCCCCTTTCCTGCCTGGCCCCTTGAGCCCTGGGCTCTGGTCCCAGCCCTCACCCTTCCCTCCGAGTAGGACCTGCTTCGTGTTCATACTCACTTCCTAAAGGAGATGAAGGAAGCCCTGGGCACCCCTGGCGCAGCCAATCTCTACCAGGTCTTCATCAAATACAAGGAGAGGTGAGACTCAGCTGGCCAGACTGAAGCTCTGGGGTCACTCTGCCTTGCCTAGGCTGGGCATTCGAGAGACCTTACCCTCAGACACCACTGGACAGGGAGGACTTTGTGCTGTGTGCTCATGGGCAAGGGGCTGCCCATCTCTGGTTCAATCCCCAGCTCTGCTGTGTCGCACTGCATAGTCACTTAACCTCTCTGTGCTTCTGCTTCCTCATCTGTACATCAGTGGGTCACAGGAATGTGCCTCCTAGGCTGGTGGTGAGGGTGGAATATACGGATGCACACAGGGCCTGGCACATAGTAGGTGCTCAATAAGTATTTGTTAAATGAAGGAACATTGGCCAGGTACGGTGGCTCAGGCCTGTAATCCCAGCACTTTGGGAGGCTGAGGTGGGTGAATCATTTGAGGTCAGGGGTTCGAGACCAGGCTGGCCAATATGGTGAAACCCTGTCTGCATTGCCTGAAAATACAACTAAAACACAACTAAAAATACAAAAAACAATTAGCCGGGCGTGGTGGCGTGCGCCTGTAACCCTAGTTACTCAGGAGAATTGCTTGAACCCGGGAGGTGGAGGTTGCAGTGAGTCAAGATCACGCCACTGGACTGCAGCCCGGGCGGCAGAGCAAGCCTCTGTCTCAAAAATAAAAAATAGGCCAGGTGTGGTGGCTCACACCTGTAAATCCAGCACTTTGGGAGGCCAAGGAGGGCAGATCACTTGAGATCAGGAGTTGGAGACCAGCCCGGCCAACATGGTGAAACCCCAACTCTACTAAAAATACAAAAATTAGCCAGGCGTGGTGGCGGGCACCTGTAATGCCAGCTACTCAGGAGGCTGAGGCAGGAGAATCGCTTGAACCCGGGAGGTGGAGGTTGCAGTGAGCTGAGATCGCACCACTGCACTCCAGCCTGGGTGACAAGAGTGAAACTCCATCTCAAAAATAAATAAAATAAAATAAAATAAAAATAAACAAACATTGGGCAGAGACAATACCAGGTACTGTGGTGAGATTACCGTGGCGTTAAATGAGATAATGCTACAATAGCCTCGCGTGGGAAATGCTATTGTTATTCCCATTTCACAGATGGGGAAACTGAGAGTCAGGTTTCTTCTCCAGCTGGGAAGAGCGAGGCCAAGGCTGACGCCGGCCTCTGCCCGATCTTGATGCCAGCCACCCTTACCTGGTGGCCTGTCCTCTCGCTGTAGGTTCCTCGTCTATGGCCGCTACTGCAGCCAGGTGGAGTCAGCCAGCAAACACCTGGATCGTGTGGCCACAGCCCGGGAGGACGTGCAGATGAAGCTGGAGGTGGGGGCCTCTCCCGCTCCTCCCCAGGCCCTGGGGGCAGGAGGGAGGACGCTGAATTGCAGATGGTCCACTTTCTGCCGCAGCCCAGCCAGGGATCCGTCAGAGGACTGGGGAGGGAGGTACTGGCCAGTCAAGTGGAGGAAATGCAGAAGAACAGAAATGGGCCAGCCCCGGGTCTGGGCTGACCCCTGATATCAGGGTGACGTCCTGACCCTGAACTGAGCTCTGATCCCACACCGAACCCCAGCCCTTGGCTGAGCCCTAGCACTGATGGTACCCCAAGTCTGGGCTGAGCTCCCACTTCTCACTGAACCCCAATTCCAACCAACCCCTGATCCCAGGCTGAACCTGATCTAGAATTGAACTTCAACCTGGATCTGTTTGTCTGGTGGAAACACAGACAGGGTAGGGGTGGGAGGATGGGGGCTCTCCAGACCTGTCCCTCTCCCCCTCTGCGGCCCCCCTCAGCAGGCAGAATACTGGACCTCTATCCCAGGCAGCATTTACCACATTCCAGTGTTTTGTTTTGTTTTGTTTTGTTTTGTTTTGAGACAGGGTCTCATTCTGTCCCCCAAGCTGGAGTGCAGTGGCATGATCATAGCTCACCGCAGCCTCGAACTCCTGTACCCAAGCAATCCTCCCAGCTCCTACCTCGGCCTCCTGAGTAGCTGGGACTACAGATGCATACCACCATTCCTGGCTAATTTTTGTGTGTTTTATAGAAATGGGGTTTCACCATGTTGTCCAGGGTGGTCTCAAACTCCAGGACTCAAGCGATTCACCCACCTCAGCTTCTCAAAGAGCTAAGATTACAGGCGTGAGCAGTTGTACCCAGCCTCTTCCCATTGTTTTTTTGTTTGTTTGTTTGTTTTTTGAGATGGAGTCGCCGTCTGTTACCCAGGTTTGAGTGCAGTGGTGCGATCTCAGCTCACTGCAATCTCTGCCTCCTGGGTTCAAGCAGTTCTCCTGCCTCAGTCTCTTGAGTAGCTGGGATTACAGGAGT